GTGTGTGTGTGTGTGTGTGTGTGTGTGTGTGTGTGTGTGTGTGTGTGTGTGTGTAAACCTCTTGGAACTTTTGAACGACTTGACCGATTTCATCGCGGTTGGTGTTATTCGAAAGGGCTTCACTAAACTTAGATTTCCTGAAAATTTGAACCGATTCGGACCGGTAGATTTCGAGAAAATGCAAAAAAAGTGAAAAAAAAAGTTAAAAAAAAGTTGTTTTTTTAAATTTTTTTTGAATATCTCCGAATTGGCTGAACCGATCGTTCTCAAAAACTAATCAGCTCTTAACCTTAAAAACTCCCATCGATCGCCACCAAAAACGTTAGAATCGGTTGATGCGTTCGTAAGATATCGTTGTCGAAAAAAATCGAAAAAAGTGTTTTTTCTGTAATAACTTCAAAATTCATGGCTCGATCGATTTAAACTTGAAAATTTTTTATGGAGCTTCAAAAACTGCGTCGATTGCCGCCAACCGCGTAAAAATCGGTTCATTCATTCAAAAGTTATTGCCGTTTGAAAATTCAAAAAATTGTGTCTTTAAACTGCTATTAGAGTTTTGAGCTCGAAGAGCTCAAATTGACACAAAAATAATATTTTTGAGCTCGAAGAGCTCAAAAACGTAATGTGTAGTTTGAAGCGTTTAAGTACAAAATGAGCGGGAAGTTGCAGGGATGGCCTTTAGGGTGAACCGTTTTTCTAATTTTTTTTTATTTCATTGAAAATTCTTAAAGTTGAAACGGAATGTTTTGTTTCCCTTGGTCGCCCCTTTTCTCTTAAGGGCGCCATTGGATTTTTGGTCTCAGTATCCAGAAACTAGACCAGAACATGGAGTGCTAGGTCAGGGTCGTGAGAGATTTGCTGAAAGGAAACTAGAATGGAAACACAGAAATTCGTTTAACAAAAATTATTTATTTATCCACTCCCTTCTACAATTGAAATAATGGCCAAAATTACAATATATAAAATTTCATGGATAACAATCCACACTCACACTCACTCGCATACGGTATATTTCGCGCTGTCCAGCTAGACCCTCACGTGGTTGCAGTACCCGATGCCTACTGGACTCTCACGCTACTCTATCTACTTCGCGCCGTCCCCTGGACCTCTAACGCTACTCTAACTTAGTTCGCGCGGTCTCACGGACTCTCACGCCACTGAGCTGGACCTCTGACGTGACTGCACACGTTGTCCACACAGCGCACGCTGTCCCCCAAACTTCACGCTACTCTAAGAGAACTACCCCTTAAGCAGGATAGTCGCTTTACTCACACACAACCACACTATTTTCTAATTCCAATATTGCACGAATTATTTCCAACTAATAACACAATTTCCAATATCGTTTCCTAATTAACAATTTCTAATTTATTAATTATCATTTTCCTAAATACTAATTTACTGCCGTGTTCTTAATATTACAACCATAAATATTTAAAACAAGAGGTCTTAGTATCTTGAATTAATCCTAATTGTTATGTCCGAGAAATTAATAAATAGATTTTAATCTTCATTTAGTAAAACTAAGTAAATCTGATAATTGAGCAAACTTAAATATTGTCTAAATTATTTTTTATTTAATCCAAATTATTTTATTTAATTCCGAGCTATTTTATTTAATCCATTAACCAGCAGTAAATTTTAATAAATTTATTTTCCAACGCAAAAGTAAAATTTAGACAAGAGATTATTCTATTGTATTTTATTATGTGTTTCTTAAAACTTAATATTTTATTTTAGTTGAGTTCATTTTACTTTAAACGAACAGAGACTTTAGTTTCGACCATGCGTGTCCTCTACTCAGCGTTCTCGCGTGGAACAAGATGGCTGACGCTCTCGCTCGGTTTAGCGTCTTTGTCGTTCGACTCAAGTATTTTTTTTTTCTGACGAAATTTTTACAATTTTTATATTCTATTTTCTTACTGAATAATTTAGATCGACAATTACATTGATTTTAAATCGGGACTCTAAGTTTAATTTAAATTAAGACAATTATTAATTAATGCGCCAATAATTTATTAAAAATAACTCTTACTGTCGAATAATTCCTGTCTTAAATAATTTTAATTTAGCGGTTTACTCAATTTCATTTCTACTGGCGTAAGCCAAATTATAGTCCAAAGATTCTCAATTAATAAATTTTACACATGGCGTAAAAATCTGGAATTAATAACCCGAACTAATGCCTAGTATTATCAAACCAGACATGCCTACGTGTAAAATTCGTAATGACAAAAACAAGTTATTTTCCTTAAACAATTTAATCAATAACCTGAAACCTGTCCTGGTATTATTAATTAATTGTTTTATAATTTGTCCAATTTGTAATATTAAGTTTGATACTAAATCTGATAAACTATTTGTAAATGATACTTAAAATTACCTAACGATTGTGACTGAGCACGAAATGGCGGTGACCTTCAGCCGACGTGTTGCCTGGCTGATGCCGCAGACCCGAGGAATAATTAAGACTCGTTATTTGTACCTGGAGTTCTTATAATTTTAATCTGCACTCCAACGGTGAGCTGCAACTCCTCGTCTTCGGGTACTGGCGTGAATTTTCCCTCGGTCAGGTATTCTCAATTTGGCGGCAAACTCTCTTCACCATCACTCGCTCTCTGGGTATTTATTCCGCCTGTAACCGCAAATCGGCATTAGAAAATATTACCAATTAAGATTAATTTACGCAAGCTGGCAGGCGGCCTAGCAAGCAATAAATTAACAAAATATTATCGCTGCGTTCCACGTTGGACAAGCAGAGTAAAAATAATTACCGTAGCTGGATGTTTTGGGAAAATTTGCGTGTCGTCCAGTCGAGCCACTCAGTCACAATGAGTCTTACCGAATTTCGTTCAACCTTTCTTGCTTCCTCTGCTCTCCCCACTACCACTACGCTAGCTTCTCCACCTTGGGGCCTTTCTTACTAGCTCTAAATGAGCTTTAGATCACAGCGCACTGTGAGCAGTCGATAAATAACTAGGTACCGAAATGGGGAATTTACCGAGTAACGATCACTCCGTTACAAAGTGTATAAAAAGACAGGTAAATGAGAAATTTTCAGTAAATACTCGGCGTGAAAAATTTGAAAAAAATATTAGATTATTGTAATTTTGTTTATTCCTAGGTAAAATCATAAAAAATTAATCAGATTACATACAATTAACAGAGATCCATCATTTCAATACTTTTCAGAAGAGTTTATGACCAACAACAAGTGTTGTACTTTTTTCATAGTTTTCAATGGAAAACCATAATACTTTTTGTTTATGACAAATATACTAATAAATAATAATGTAAGAAGTAATCAGGTGAAAAGACCGAAGTAATCAGTTTTAACTATTTGTTTTTATATATACGACGTTTCGTTGCTTTTATTCCGACATCCTCAGGTATCTGACAACAGACAGACAATATAAAAAATTAATATACAATAAATTATGTAAACAACAAAAATTACGAAAGTACTAAAATTAGTAGAGTTAATATAATAAATTAATAAAAATTAATATCATGTCAAAAAAATATCTTAAAAAAGTTTGTCAAAACATTGTCAACACTCTGATCAATACATAGCAGATTCATATATAATTTTTACAAATATTATTCGTCCAAATTTAGTCAAACCATCGATAATTTGCAGATTATCAAATGCATAATTTTAAATAAGTTATCGAAAATTATTAATAAGTAAAAAATTATTAATAACTAACAGACAAGAACCTCCTTTTACGTAAGTTACTCTCAACTGTAAACAGCTGGCAGTTACATCATACATGCACGCTCTCGTGGTGACAATGATAACTAAACTCACGCGACAAATTTAAATGACCTACGCCAAATTTATATTATACTTATATTTCTTAATCAACCCTAAATACACTTTACTTAGCCGGTCAGTGTCTGTTCTCAAATTATCCGTGTCGGATAAACAGATATAAACCATCTCACTGACATTTCATTTGAGCCAGTTTCCTTCTCTGTCAACAATCTTCACTCCGTCAAAGTCAAAGTTATGATCTGTTGAGATATGATGATTCGCCAGAGCAGTACGGTCCCCCTTGTTCCTAAACTTCTCACAACTATATCTATGTTTATGTAGTCTTTTGGACAAGTATTGCCGAGTCTGGCCCACATATAATTTTGCACAGGAACACGGGATTTTATATACTAACTCAGAAGCTTGGCCCAACGGTGTTTTGTCCTTCAGCCTTGAATATATATCCCCAATAGTGCGGATGTTATAAAACGCCGGTCTTCAATCAGTAAATCGAAAACTTGGTGATATACTATGACTAAGGCCCTTAATGAAGAGAAACCTGTACCTATTCTCTTGAGTTTAAATATTATTGACACACTTATTTTTCACATGCAAAGCATTAAACTTTCTCAAACAGACGTCTACGAACGATCTTGGGTAGTTGTTCCTGTCAAGAATTTCGCAAACTTTTTCAAATTCTCATCGTAGTACTCTGCATGACTCAACTTTAACGCTCTATATGATAAGCATGGGACATACTATTCTTCTGCGCAATGGGATGATGAGATTTGAAATTCAGCAAAATGCCGGAACTTGTGGATTTTTAGTACCTCTTGTCCGTGATCTACCATTTGCCATCCTTATTACAGTATATCCAGGAACGCCATCGTATTACCAACTTCCTTCTCCATTGTGAATTGTATCTCAGGATGTATACTGTTAAACCACCCCAGTAAACATCCACCTCACTCTCAGGAACTGCAAGCAAGGTATCATCCACATAGAGTTTTAAGAAGGCAATTTTGAATGGTATAATTTCTAATACACTACTGGAAAAAATTAAGGGATCAAAAAAAAATTCCAAATTTTTCGGTAGTTTTCAACAGGCCGTAACTTTGAGAGAAATGGTCGTACAGGAAATAAAAAGAAAGGAAATTGTAGCTCCAAGTGTCTAGTTTTTGGATTAGAACTTCAAAATTTTCAAGCTTTTTCCACATTTTTGTTCCAGAAAGTGCTTAAATTAAAAAAAAAATTCAAAAAAAAAAAATTCAAAAAAAAAAAATTCAAAAAACAAAAATTTTTTTTTGAAATTTTTTCTCTTGAAAAGTTTAAGAAAACAATTACCGCCGGCATTAGCGTTATCCAAAGCGTACCACGTGGAGGTCGCGCGGTCGGATTTACGCTTCTGTGTGTGTGTGTGTGTGTGTGTGTGTGTTTTTTTTTTTTTTCAAGGCGT